TTATGGTGGGCTCAAAGGAGGTTTTGCCTCCCTACGTCAAGATATAGACCAACTTCTGCTGGTCTTAGAGAGGGGAGCCCTTGAACAACCCCAAAAAACACCATATCAAGACTCAAACCAAGATATCACTTCCATCAAAAAAGTAGGGCCTGACCTAAATCACAATGGAACTGAAGGCAGTACTACCCCAGCACCCAGCCCAAATTGTACTGGGACTAGCACCGCTGCCATGACAGAGGCTGAAAGGAATCTTCTTCAAGCAGAGGCTCGACGATTGGCATCTGGGTGTCAGCGGGCCACACGTGTAGGCTGGGCTCCCGATGAAGCCCTACGTTCTTTATCTAACAGCTTCAGTGCCCTGGTTCAGTTGTCAGCAGCCTGCCTGCGAACAAACCCCTGTCCTGGTTGTGACATCTGCCATAATGCGAGCCTGGTCCACAGGGATGAGGACGATGATAGCCAGGAACCCATGGACAAGCTAAAGGAGATAGTGGGTCTGTACCGGGACTTTGTTGGGGCTGTTGAGACAGCTGGAACTGGTGCTGGGGTTGGGGGTAAGAGTGTGGGCCTCACTGGCTCTGGACAGGGTCAGGGGGAGAGTGATGGGGTGAGGCTGCTAGCCAAGCGCTGCACTGTGCTCATCTCCTCTGTATTCGCACTCACACAGCTCTTTCGGACATGCACACTAGACTCCTCGGACCCGTCTGGCCACGTACCTCTCAACTTTTGACCCACTAATAACCCACTGACTTTAGAGGTGAGACAAGAGGAAACAGCACAGAGTGATCTGGTGTGTAACCCCCTGTGTTCATGTACAGTAAGTGCCATGCACACCACAGCACACAAACTTTTATCCACATTACACATACCCACATGGAAAACACATACACCTATCAAATCCCTAAAGGAAGAGAGGAAAATTGCTTGGCCTCTTCTTGGATGCATATGGACTATGCATTTGTACATATGAATTTTATAATTATCTTATAATTCTCTTATTTTATGATACAATATGTGTATGTATGTAAGGATGGATTACCCATGTATGTATTTATGTATTTATTTTTACAATATTTGCACCATGGTCTGTGATGTGCAGGTCTCTGGTAAAAAAAAACAACTATGGATGTCACTGGAATTTTTATTTTTCCTTCTCTTTGAGACAGTATTATGTTATCTTTTGCTGCTTTAAAGATTTCTCCACTTCACAAGGTGTAATCTGTAAATTGTCATTTTCAAGTTTAGTAATAACAGTACCTTTTCCTGACAAAATACAGAATATATACTTTATCACACCTGCAAAATACAGTTATTAACTGATTTGTTTTATATGTGCAGGATCGCACCTTTCTAAGGATTTAGTTTTTCAACATTACAGTCACATATAAATGGGATACAAAACTAAACCATTACTAAGCAGGGAGAGCACTTTTGACTGTTACAGATTGCACCTTTTTATGAGACACATACTCCTGTGTAAAGTGTTTTTCTACCCCTTACCTGGTCCTGACTGACTGTGAGTGAATGCTTCTTGGAAATACTCCCATTACCCAAACGTATGCAGTATAATATGAATCTAGTTTTCATCCAAAGGACATTACATATATATTTTCTGGGAATGTGTTGATGAGGCCTAGGGAGCAAAACAGGGGACCTTATTTATGTAGTTAAAAAAAAGCGTTTTTGACTCGACACAAGGGTGACTGTTAAACTCTGTCCAGATGTAGCAAAGATCCAAAGTCTTAAAACACTGAGCCACAACTGTTCCCCACTACGGTTTCCTTTTAGGGCACACCACCTTATTAATAACATACTGACTGACGAAGATGGACTGATTGCTGTATGCTGGGGTCAGAACTGTAGATGTACATTTATATCTTTGTGTCCTATTCTGTCTCTACATTAGTTTATGGCTATGCAAACATACCCCCCCTCCCCCCACCACATACTGTATTCTTGTTTTTTGTGCTAACATTAAAAACAACAATAGCTGCATTATGTTTGTCTGAATATAATGGATGCTTTCTTTGTTTGTTATGTTGGCCTTTGGGAAAACTTACTGCATCATGGATTGCAACATTTTGCAAAGTTGCATGGCATTAGCATTTGTCAATATAAAGACTCCTGTCTATACTGTCTGTGAATTGTCAGTAAAAGGATTATATTGCTCGATCAGTTTGCTGATGTACAGTGTTCACTAATCAGCTCGTCCATATCACGTAATGCCAGTTAATTCATCAGCCATCCTATTTGGAGGATTTCCATGAGCCACCTACGTCAACAAAAAGGTAATTAAGCCAACTCAGTCAGAAGTTGCTTATACAAATATGACAAGGGGATTGGCCGAAATAAGGACTGCGTATGTGTTCAGAGATAGCTGGTTAGGAGATGGGTACTATCTTTATCTTTAAAATATACGACTGAGGTAAGTTTTGTTACGGTGGCCATGCTTAAAAAATAAGAAGGCAGGTGTCGTGTGTGAGATTTCAGAGCTTCCAGTTACCAAGGAGGTCACGTCTAGTAGCAGTGTCCATCACAGTACTAACATCAAGACATACAGTAGGTCTCAGGAGCATCTTTAGTTGTTCATCAAGCATGCCCAAACAGGGAAGAGTGCCAGTCTCCTATTTGTTTTGTTTCTGTATGGTTACATTGTATCAACAGCATTTTTATTTTCAAAGAGGACATTGTGTTTCTACATGAGCAGTCACTTTTCAGTCGATGTACCAAGAAATGTATTGTTTGGAAATAAATTACACATTGACCTTAACAACGTTTGACATCTTGGTGTTTGGGATCTTGTACCAGTTAATAACTAATTTCAGTTCATATAAGCTGCAACCAGTCAGATCAGAAAAAATTACATTTACCAAACAACATTAAACCCATGGGTGAATATTTTAGCAACAGCATAGAGAATGAAGATATGCCTCAGCAGGCTAAATAGCCTCTCTGTACCATAACTGCACTATTAATACTGTTAGTGGGAATTTCTGTGAAATTTCTTTTCTAGCAATGAGTTGCTATACTTCCACAAAGGGCCTCCTTTCTCTTTCTCTCATTTGGTATTGGGAATGTCTCTAAATTATTAACAGAGAGCCATCTGAGTTAAAGCAACATCTCCAATAAAACTTATCCTTAAATAATGAATTTTAATGTCAAAATATTGAGATTTCACTGAACATGAGTCAGAGAGACATTTGCGAGGGTGAAAATAGTGACAAACAAAAAAACTGTAAGAGAGCTGAGAAGATTTTTTACTATGGCAGCTCAACCCTCCCTGAACCAAAGTCCCCACGTCAGATTGCCCTTAATCTGATCATTATCTGCAGTCTGACTTCTTGACACAGTAATCTAGAAAGTCGCACTCTGCACTATTGCACGCGTGAAAAAAAAATGGTCTGACAGCATTGCGCTGTAGTGAAAGCCATTTCTATGACCACATACACTCACCTAAAGGATTATTAGGAACACCTTCTCAATTTCTCATTAATGCAATTATCTAATCAACCAATCACATGACAGTTGCTTCAATGCATTTAGGGGTGTGGTCCTGGTCAAGACAATCTCCTGAACTCCAAACTGAATGTCACAATGGGAAAGAAAGGTGATTTAAGCAATTTTGAGCGTGGCATGGTTGTTGGTGCCAGATGGGCCGGTCTGAGTATTTCACAATCTGCTCAGTTACTGGGATTTTCACGCACAACCATTTCTAGGGTTTACAAAGAATGGTGTGAAAAGGGAAAAACATCCAGTATGTGGCAGTCCTGTGGGCGAAAATGCCTTGTTGATGCTAGAGGTCAGAGGAGAATGGGCCGACTGATTCAAGCTGATAGAAGAGCAAGTTTGACTGAAATAACCACTCGTTACAACCGAGGTATACAGCAAAGCATTTGTGAAGCCACAATGCACAACCTTGAGGCGGATGGGCTACAACAGCAGAAGACCCCACCGGGTACCACTCATCTCCACTACAAATAGGAAAAAGAGGCTACAATTTGCAAGAGCTCACCAAAATTGGACAGTTGAAGACTGGAAAAATGTTGCCTGGTCTGATGAGTCTCGATTTCTGTTGAGACATTCAGATGGTAGAGTCAGAATTTGGCATAAACAGAATGAGAACATGGATCCATCATGCCTTGTTACCACTGCAGGCTGGTGGTGGTGGTGTAATGGTGTGGGGGATGTTTTCTTGGCACACTTTGGGCCCCTTAGCGCCAATTGGGCATCGTTTAAATGCCACGGCCTACCTGAGCATTGTTTCTGACCATGTCCATCCCCTTATGGCCACCATGTACCCATCCTCTGATGGCTACTTCCAGCAGGATAACCATGTCACAAAGCTTGAATCATTTCAAATTGGTTTCTTGAACATGAGTTCACTGTACTAAAATGGCCCCCACAGTCACCAGATCTCAACCCAATAGAGCATCTTTGGGATGTGGTGGAACGGGAGCTTCGTGCCCTGGATGTGCATCCCACAAATCTCCATCAACTGCAAGATGCTATCCTGTCAATATGGGCCAACATTTCTAAAGAATGCTTTCAGCACCTTGTTGAATCAATGCCACGTAGAATTAAGGCAGTTCTGAAGGCGAAAGGGGTCAAACACAGTATTAGTATGGTGTTCCTAATAATCCTTTAGGTGAGTGTAGATAGAAACAGCAAGAGGTGTTGAACGTCTGTTTACATCATTGCTTATGATTCAGCGTTAGCCTGTTCATCTAGAATACATAATTGCAATGGTGATGCTGTTTGTGTGATTGATTACAAGTAAGGGATTATGTTGTTTGGGCAAGGGCAGATAGATGAGACATGTCATTGTGAAGTATTAGTCAGGGAAGACACAAGACACACAGAAGCCATTCAGTTTTATAATTTACTGTGTAGGTGCCTCTATTACATGTTTTTTTTTGGTGTTTTTGTTTTTAAGCTCATTATTTGAGAAAACTTGACAGCTGACAAATGTGCCCTCATAAACACCCACATAACAGACTTATTTACTGTCAAAACTTTTAATAGATTGATTTCAAACATTTCATTTTGGTTGCAATTATTCAGCAATTTGGTGACTTGTGCTTCAGGGAACGTGGTAATTATAAAACACAGCGTTATTTAATCTAAGCAAGGGTGTCCCACTTTCAAAACCTAATTCGATACAAAGTCTTACTTTCGAAGAGGAAACCTTAGAAAATTCTGAACAGATCTGAAAGCGGTACACTGTGGTCAAAATGAAAAGAACTGAAGAAATAGGCCAAGTGATCCATTTACATGGCAGCTTAAGCTTTTTGTGCCACTGAACATTACCCTCTGCCCCTGTCTTCTCTCAGCACCATTACTGTTCAGTCTCTCTCAGTGTCCAAGCAGCATGCCTTTCCTCTTCGGGCTGTCGTACCCAGCAAGAGCTGCTGGGTGGTGAGTGACTGCATCTACTCAAGCTTGAAATCTGAGCCCATTATGTCAACAGATGTTACGGGCAGAGAGGAGAGCAAGCGTGAGAGGAGGGAAGATCTAAAAGAATGATCAGAAGGAGGGAGATACATGTATAAAACAAGAGATATTTAAGATATTATCAGTTTGATAATCAGTCAACGAATAATAGCCCCCAATGAACAAATGAAGCAAGGTGCATTATCAAATTAATATTTTTCTCTGAAGCTGGGATTAATTGTTGGAAAGCAACATAAGTCTACATTAAATGTTATTTTCCTCCTTTCCATAAATTATAAAAACAGACAAGATCTGGGTGTAACTGTATGTTTTACTGACATATACATCAATGGACACTTCTCCAAACTCAAACAACACATACACCCTGCCAGTAGCACTTCATAAAATAAACCAAGACAAAAAGCGTTTGAACAAAGTTCTCCTCCAACAGGCAAAGAGGAATCATGTGTGAAAGCAGAAACTGTTCAAATTAGCATGCCTGCATGTGTCTGCTAGGATTTCCAAGAACACGTATACCACTGATACTCATTTCAAACATTTCCTAAGCATTAGCGTTCTGATCTCATTAATGTAAATGCTGAATAAGTGGAGATGGAGCATAAAGAGAAATAAAATGGCCAACAATTAATACACTCTCCTTGACAATTAATCGTGGGGTATTTCAATGGTCAGAAGTATAAAAGTATTTAATTTAAGTGGCAGAATACAGCTTCACAGAGAAAGTGCTCTTGGGCAAACAGACAGATATTGTCAACAAGACACACCACAGCTCACAGCACATATGAAAAAACAGCTACTCCAGCAAAAGAACTCGATCCAATCCAGTCAGGAAACTTTTGTTTTAAACTGTGGGGAAAAAAACACTGGAGTTCAGTTTGCTCCTTCAAATCTTTGTACACAGAGCAAACAATGGCATTTCAATTGGACCCTGGCACAAGTTTTGTATAGGCTAAATGTAGAATGTGTCTTGTGTCTATAAAGTATGTGTCTTGTTTTTAATGTTTTGACAACAGTAAATGGTAACAATGGCAGGTGGTTTATATCACACTGACTGTTGGCCCCTGTCGGAAGTGCAACTTCATTGCAGTCTTTCAGTCATGGAAACTCCAGCATCCCAAAAACATTTCCATACAGCAAGTGCAAAAGCTTAACTTTACAATTTCCTTTCTTCTCAACAAACTCCATGCAGGTGTTTCCTTTAGATACTTTCTCTAGATCTCATCTCCATTCCCCCTCTCAAATGAGCTTCAGCAGCAGCTCATAGGTGGCATTAATAATCCCCCAAGAGAGGAGTGAACGGTGGTAGTTGAGGTGCGCCCCCCTGAAGAGCTTGGGCAAACTGCCACCCCTTTCTCGCCACACTGTTAGCAGCACCTCTTTGCAAGGCTGGAAGGCTCCACCAACCTGAGACTGAGCCCGGGACTTTACCACATTTAAAGGATAGAACATGATGCCAAGGCCTGCCCCTAACAAACCTCCACACACAAAATCATTAACCAGGTGACCTCCCCAGCTAGTGGCTTCTGGTAGCTGCTCCTTAATGGGCCCACGGAGCCCAAAGAAGAAGACATTGCTAGGGCCATTACGGATGAGTATGGGCACGAGGCCACGGTAACACTCTCTGACACCATACTCAGTCAGAAGTGTCCGGAAGGTGTGGGCTGTGTTGTTGAAGCGCCCGTGGTGCCGATGGTCTTGTAGGAGAGTCTGCACACGCTCAAATGGCGTAAGGATGGCCTCTGCGGTTCCAGCCAATGCTGCAGCAAAGCTTCTGGTCACCAGCTCTGGCACACCGCTGCCACCGGCCCGTTCTAGTAAGACTCTAGAGAAGTCCTCGTACAGGCCAAACATGATGGCCACTGTAGTGCTCTTCTGGAGCAGCGGGGGCAGCAGGCCCCGGTAAAGATTCCTCAGCCCATCCCTCTGCAGCTGCTGCACCGCCTCTGTGACCAACACACCGTGCAGCTGCTGGCGGAACAGGACCTTCTGAATTGGGAAGGTCACCACGATATTGGTAAAAGCTGCAATGGAGCCGCAGACATAGTGCTTCCCTTGATGGCCCAGGCTGCCATTCAAAGCCCCAGCAGGCAGCAGGGAACGGCCTCCTTTAACTCCTGACTCAGAGTCCATGGTGCTAACAGCCATGGGAGGTCAGTGCTCCACAGCCTGTTCCTCCAGCTTCACATCAGAACCGCACTCTTCTGTAAAATACAGATCCTGTGAAAGAGAGGGGAAATATCAGTCAGACCTCCTTAATTAATAATAATGATCTTTTTTGAAGGATTTGTATAGCATTTTCCCCCTTCATGAAATAGTATGATGGCAAAGGGAGACAAGAAACATGGGAATGTGAGACAGTGACGATCTGATGTCAATGGGGACATCGTACACTCACTTACTTAACTAAGCTCTGAACTTTTTAACCGTAGCCACTTACCTTCAACTTGCAGCCCACAACCAGGCTGCCCCAACTGGCCCCTGATAAGAGTAATTACACAACTTAACAGACTGATAAGTGCCAGCTTAGTCATGGGGGAGGAGAGCACTGCGTATTCGTCATCATAAAGTGTTTACTGGAGTTTTTTTAAGTAATAAGATGCTAGTTGCATGCTCTACCTCACACAAAAGGAATAACAAATCTGCTCAAATGAAAGCAAGATCCTCCCACAATAAAAAAAAAAGCATTTAGTATAGGAGTTGTCTAATTATAGCTGTGGCAAAGCTGTGGAGGGGTCACAGTACTCAACCAAAATATCACACAGTTTTAGGTCTGTATAATATAACGTTACCCATAGGCAGTTTACGGACATACCAGACTGCCACACGCCTACAGACGTGCCAGAGCCTGTTATGGAATTTAAAAACTATGTAATAAAAACTATAACAAATAAATTATTGCGCTGATGCCCTTTTCAATCTTCAACAGCAACAACATAGAGCTGTTTGATCACCTAAGCCTATATTACACAAAAGTTAATGACTTATTTTACTCTGGGTTATAAAATAAAGTTAGGCTAAACGTAAATGGTGATGGTTCCTTACCTGCGTTTTGCATTGTCATATTTTTAACCAGGAAGCAAGTATTTTCCTATTAGGTAAAACGATGACCACATTTTGATCTTGATACTTTTACTAAACCAACGGATTTGTGCAGAAGACAACAACCCAATTAGCCAAAGTAATCCGACGCTTCCTTTGAACCCCACCTTGTAGTTATCAGTGGGTTGATACAGACATAAATGCCTAATTTAAGTTAACAGTTCGTTTCCGAGCACGAAGCAATATTACTGACTGTACGAATAGTTACATAGCTAAAGATCAGCTTATCACCGACGGGCTAGCATGCTTACTTAGCTCAATGGCTAAGTTACACACCCAAATGCTAGCCAACTTGCTCATCACTGTTAGTGACTGGGCCTCCTCGGTTATGTTAGTAACAGTCCATCAGATGTATGTTAAAGGTAAAACGAGGACGGACTGACGCGAGACCAGGGTCAGAAATAATGGCTGCATGCTAACGTTACAACAAAATACTTGTCTGCCTAGCATGTGGCTAACGTTAGCATATTCAGAGTTATGGACAGGCGGAGACATAGACAGCAGCTGAGCTGAATGTCAAGAGGCAAAATAGCGCCTAGCAATTTTTGATTGAGCCGGACTTAGAAATTAGTCTTTACCTGCCGTGTGTACCGGTCGCTGTCCTGTCCCTGAACAAACAGGAAGAGTGCAATAGTTTCCCGCAGGGTAAATGGGACACAAGTGTAGGTCGTGTCTGCAACAGCAGGTGACAACAGCAATGCATCTTTAGCGCCTGCGTATGAGAAGCTGCCCGGGCCAAACTGAAGACTTCACTTGCAAATACATACAGTAGTTACCAGTACTGAGCACTTAAACATACATGCTTTCGTGTATATACACACATGCATATACATACAGGCATGCATGAACGAAGGCATGCATTACATTTGGATAAATAGAGCTTGATACTTTATAATTATTTTCCACAGCTGTTGCAATGACATTGATCATAGAAAGAGATGTGAGCAGCTTATGAAGCAAATTAGACAGCTTTAGCTTTAGCCATGATCTGCATTTTGCTTCCACTTGTATAACTTATTATTTTATGTTTATGTTTGCGGTTGGTGTGCCACCCTTTGAGTACATGTCTGTTTGTTTGTATTCTCAATAAAATAAAGATTGATAAAAGTATATGGCGCCAACTTGGGCCAACACAGACCCTCCCCACTCTCACTCCTTAGAGTGTACTCAGTAGTAACACTCACAGCTAAATCATTGGTGTAACCAGAGACATTACTTAATACAGTACTTTACAGTACATACTAAGTGTAACTGGCTGCAGTGATAAGAGTCAGCAGCTGTTACATAAGCACACATGTATACATAATCAAGCATAAACATAAATACATTCTGATACACACACACACACACACACACACACACACACACACACACACACACACACACACACACACACACGCAGCGCATGCCTGTAAATATGTATATGCATGTACATGTACATGTTAAGAGTAGGCTTAAGACTTTCCTCTTTGATAAAGCTTATAGTTACAGCTGGCTCAGGTGAGTCCTGAACCATCCCTTAGTTATGCTGCTATAGGCCTAGACTCCCTCTCTACGCAACCTCATCCCATTAATGCATGTTACTAACTCAACTTCTCCCCTCTCTCTTGTGCTTTCTCGTTCCTCTTCTCCTCCTATCACTTCCTGCAGGTGTTTCTGGCTCTGGAGCTGTGGAGTCTGGATCTGTGGCTGCAGGTCACCTGCTGCCCCCGTGTTCCTGCTCGACACCCTCTACTGCAACGACTATTGTTGCTAGTCCTGTTGTTATCATTGTAATTATAATCATTAACATTACGATTATTATCATTAACACTACTATAAATATCTGTACCATTATTCATTCAGTCTATAGCAACATTACCTTTACTGTCTGTACCTCTGTGTGTATATTATGTAGGCTGCCTCCCTCCCCTCTCTCTCCTTCCATCCCTCTCTTTTTCTCTCTGTTCCTCTCTTGCCCTCCCTCTCTCTCTCTCCTTCACCCCCAACCGGTCGAGGCAGATGGCCGCCCACCCTGAGCCATGGTTCTGCTCGAGGTTTCTGCCTCTAAAAAGTTTTTCCTTGCCCCTGTCGCCTTGTGCTTGCTCTTGGTGGGAACTCTTGGGCTTCTGTAAATAACATATGGTCTAGACCTGCTCTTTTATGAAAAGCGCTCAGAGATAACTGTTGTTGTGATTTGGCGCTATATAAATAAAATTGAATGAATTGAATGAATGTATATATGTATGCATATGCATTAGAGTATATTTGTATGTGCCAGTGCTTAGTACATGTTGTATATAGGTATGTGTCCAGTGAAGCCCGTGTTTGATTATTATTGTCTTGTTGTATTATTGTATAAGTAAGCACACCGTGAGCATTGTACAATCCAGAGTAATTCCTCATGTGTACACATACCTGGCAATAAAGCTGATTCAGATTCCGAAGTACTCAATTTTGGCCTAGGCGGCTTCTCATACCTGCGCAGATTGCGAGTATATGGATGGGGCTACATCCATGGCTACAGCTGACTTCAGAGAGCTTCTGTCACATTTGACACACTTAATTGTACTTTATTGTAATAGTACGATGTAAGTAGTTGATAGTTTGGGTTGGTAGATTATCCCGGATGTTTCGACGCACAACATATGTTGAGTAAAACACTAAAGCGAACAAATTTTCGCGTTGTTTTGGTGAGACTAGCTAATCAGGAAATGTTTGAATGTTGGTCGTAAAGCAGAATGCAGCCTCAGTTTTACGACTACGGCGTGTCGTCATTGTCGTAACGTGAGAGAATGTGTCGGTAAATAAAGGCTTAGCTTTGACTGGTAATTTCAGAATGACTTTAAGATGCTCTTCTCTTTCTTCATGTGCATTATTGTTATGTGTATAAATATAATTGAATAATAGATAACAGTCTGGTGAACGATTGTAGAAAATATGTGAATTGACTGACACATAGCTAACGCTAACTAGCTATGTGTTGCTAGCTGTATTCTGTATTGCAGAGAACAAATCTCTTTAGCTTGACGCTAACCTTGGTCACAGATCGCACTTGAAATTTATCCACCGAGACTTGTAAGAGAACCGTATGTGTTGAGTTGCAGCCTGAACTGCGTGTGGGGTCAGTTTTGTCACCTTCAGCACTTGAAGCTCGGTTCATGTAAAATGTCAGCGCAAAAAGACTGTGAGTTTTTGGTGAAAAGAGCCCGGGAGCTGGTCTCTGATGATCCCTGTGCGGCCAAAGCCTGGCTCATAACTGCCAGGACCCTTTACCCTGCAGATTTCAATATCCAGGTAACATTGAGAATTTCCACCAAACCACCGCAGTTATATGAATGTACATATAAATCAACCATTAAAACGTGTTTGACATTTGTGATTATGTGAGCTGATCCTCTGTCATGAGTCCAATGTTACAGTTTGGTTGTTTTCACAGTATGAAATGTACATCATTGAACGCAACGCAGAGAGGACCGCTTCAGCAGGGAGACTGCTGTATGACATGTGAGTTACAGTGAGCTGTCTCTATGGTTGCTAACTTTAATGTCAGGTGCCCTTTGCTAAATCTGAGCTAACACTTGCCAATGAATTGTCCATCCTTTAGGTTTATAAACTTTCCAGATCAGCCCATTGTTTGGCGGGAGATCAGTGTCATCACAGCCGCCCTGCGCAGTGACTCACAGGACAAACATGCACAGTTTCTACGAGGTAAGAGGAGTGTAACAGCCTCCTTAGGATCCAGGCCATGCAAACATTAGTATACATTAGTGTGATACTGAAGAGTGTCTGTTTTTCTAGATATGTGTGTTTGTCTTCCTCAGGCCTTTTTGAGACACTGCCTGGCCGTGTGCAGTGTGAGATGCTACTGAAAGCCACAGAGCAGTGTTTCAACACTTTAGAGAAGGCGGAGATGCTGCTCCTCCTTCTTAAGCGCTTTCCAGAGTCTGTGGTTCAACACGGGGTGCGTAATAATAACACAACGTGTTGACATTTGGACCTAGAGTAAATGGCGCTACAGCAGTCACTGGTAACATTCTGCCATATGTTTAGGTCAATCTAGGAGAAACATTGCTAGAGGCAGAGGCATCAGAGAATGTGGAGACTCCTGTCAACTGCTTCAGAAAACTTTTTGGTGAGTGTAACACTTTTCATTAATTTGCAATAAAACAAAAAAAAACGTTCTCACCAATTCTTTCTTATTATTACAGTGTGTGATGTCCTTCCTTTGGTCATAAACAACATGGACATGCGCTTGCCGGCCAGCCTCATGCAGAAGTACATGCTGAAAGCAGCTGAATTCTACATCGGCTATGTGACCCGTGGACCCTCACCTGATGTACAGATACAGGGTAAAGCTGCACCGTGTTGATGTTGCTTTTCTCTCAGTGCTAACCCAGTGTGGTCACATTAACCCTCAAGATTTCTTGCCCTACATTAGGGTCTGTGTTGATATGTTTTCTATTCACTGCCTACCTTCCTGCTCCTCTTTTTTGCTACAGGCTCTCAAGAAGGTGGGTCTCTGAAGTCCCCCAGCATTTCCCGTGGCTCTCAGCGATACGTGATTGACGGCCTGTCGGAAAAGTCGTCAGTGGTAGCCGAACCTTGGGAGAGGCTGTTAGATATCCTTGCTGTGGTCGGGGCACGCTGCGAGTGGCAGGGAGACAAGGGACAGAGGTCTGTCTGCCTGTCAATCAGCCAGGACTGTTTTTCAGGCTCATTCTGTATTTATTTATTAGTTACATCAAGCTTAAGTGAATCCAGTCTCATACAATAAATCCTACTTTAGAGAGGTGTTGATTTAACTTCATGGTCATTTTGGAGGCTGTAGTTTTGTGGTGCTGTTATACGGAGAGTTTTTTCTAATATTTAATCTACCGTCATCGATTTAAATGGATGAATAGTTTTTCCTGTTAGCCCATATAAGAGAAAGAGACCCCACAGGAGTCCAGAGAGATGGATAGTAAAATGTTGTTGCAAGGCAGTGCGTGTTTTCAGGACAAATGGACAATACAGATTGATATGTAGTAGTGTAGGAACTAATTTGCTAGTGCTGTATATGTTGTATATTATGTTATTACATAATCAGTAATAAACATATAATAACTGTTAAATGTTAAGAGTAATAATATGAATTATTAATAGAAACAATTCAATTGAACATTACTGGTGTCCGACTCAGTGTACTAATGACAGTTCCATCATGTGTTAGGAAGTGTGAGTGAGAAACATAGGGAAAGAAGTTGTTTAGATCATTTATATTTCTTGCAGTACTTACAGATGTTATCTATACCTCCTATATGTATAGCGTTTTTAAACAGGAGCATAAATGTTTTTGTGGTTGTACCTTATGCTCCAGGAGTTATGTGGACATGCTGCAAAGAGTGAAGGAGCTGTGTCGCTACCTGCCTGGTCTTGAAGGAGACACAAGGTCCCGCTGCTGCAGTCAAGTGGTCATCTGTGCTGCGCTCGTCCTCTTCCGCAGCGCCTTCCTTTACGTCTCAGCTGTACAGCCGGCTCTGTTCCAGGGTCAGCCTTTGTGTTTGCAAGCACACGAAAGTCCCCTGCGCTTTTCGGTCTAGGTCTTCAGGATATGCACGTTTAATGTCTTTTCAATTAAAGCTTATATGATCGAATGATGTGTTTTATGTTCTGCAGGTGTGAATGCGTTGAGTTCGGGGCCGTGGATCCTGGTAGAGGATTTGAGCTCGGTGTATAATGATGTGGAGGTGGAAAGAGGAGCATTGAAACATGCACATAAAAAACGCAAACTGGCAGACGGTAGAGAGAAGACGATGGTGAGGACAGATCAGAAATCATTTACTTGTTTCTAACTGATTTTGGTGAGGGCAGAGAAAGACCGACAGATCACTTTAAGTGTGCACAGTTGTTGTGTACGTGTTCTTGAATAGGTTTCAGTATGTGATTATAGTGTGTTTCCATTGTATCTGCTGGTGTGTGTGTGTGTGTGTGTGTGTGTGTCACTGTAGAGCTCAGATGATGAGGAGGGGTTGGGAAAAGGTCGCGGTCGGCACATTTTAGTGAACAAGACTGAGATGCTCGGCTGGTCTGAGACTCTGGAGAGCTTCCGCACAGCGAGGGAAAGCTGGGATCTTCTTCACTCACATGATGGCCTGGAAACTGGTAAACACCTCTTCTGTCTGTGACTGACAGGCTTCAGTCATCGTATTATATATTAAACCACTACAGCTGCAGATGGTGTTTTGGATTTTAAAACATTTCTCTGGACAACTTTTCTTTGTGTCTCCTTGGAGGCAAAAGGTAGAAAATTATTATTTGAGGGATTTTGTAACATTGCATTTTAACAGAGTTCAAGAAGATCTGTGCCTCTTGGAAGACGGACAGCTGGCTGTGGTTCAGAATATTCCTGTCCGACATGATCATATACCAGGCAAGACACCTTCTGACCTTTCATCGGTGGTATCATTCATGGGGTTAAGTTTAACTTAATAGGATATAGCAATAACTATATGTAACATAACAAAACTGCTGACAGTAAGTGGATGAACCTGAGGGACATTTATTATAATGAATACATTATAGTTTTCCTAATTGGGAGATATTTATTTATCATGCGGTGTCTGTGACTAGATGCTATATGTGTGTCTCTCCAGGGACAGTACCGTAAGGCCCTCTCCAGCCTGCACCAGATGGCTGTAGTACAGCAGCCTCAGCCTGAACAGCAGAGCCCCTCAGGTCAGGCCAGTCTGGAGCACCACAGGGCCCTCATACAGCAGGCCTCCTGCCACTATGCGCTGGGAGAGTACAGGGTACACACTCGCACACACATGCACACTTTCTTATAGGGTTATTAGGGGTCAGGAGACATTCATATACAAACACAGGTTGCATGTCTCTTCATTCTTCCACCCCCTTTTCCATATTCTGAATGCACCCCTGGTTCAAAAATATGATGTTAAACCTTTGTATTGAGCAGTAATTGCTGTCTCTTTTCAACATCTTACAAAATCTGCTGAATTTAGAGATATGGTTTAAATAATATCAGGTCGGCTGAGTCAGTGAACTCTTTTAAGTCCCTTCTTAAAACATACTTTTATAGGAGAGCTTTTCCCGATCTTATTTGACTGTATTTTATCCCTTTTATCTTATTGTATTTTACTAATTTTATATAATTTTTCATGCTCTTATCTTGTTTTTTTTGTATTATTCTTTACACTTGTTAAAGCACTTTGTAACTTGTTTTTGAAAAGTGCTCTACAAATAAGGATTATTATTATTATTATTATATGGCACAAAACACAACACTGTGTAATCTATAACACCAACTGGCCTGCAGATGGCGTTATAATTAAGGTCAATTTTTGAACCAGAATGAGGTTTATTGCCGAGTAGGTTTACACATATACAAGGAATTTGCTTTGTTATTTTGGTGCATAACAATAAACATAGTTGGTGAAAAAATATAACAAAGATAAAGCAAGTACTGAAGGTCAAAAATCCTAATATAAAGTATAGAATTGACAATATGATGGGGGGAAAAAATACATCTTTGAAAGTATAATAAAGGATAAATGACATTTGACTTAACTTTCCCAGATGTTAAAACTTGTGTATGGTCACTAATCATTTTCAAAAAAGTTTTTTGTTTTGAAGCAAAAAGATATCCATTACAGACTGACAACAGGATTTAGAGTACACATAAGAAGTACATAGACAGTGTATTTTCATGACACTTCATGATTTGTTAGTGTAATAGCCCTGACCTGTTTACAGATGTGATGTATATGCATTGTGCTGTATCTTTTAATCAGATGGCCTGTGAGAAGCTGCTTGACGTTGTCAGCGGGCTGGTGCCCCCGAACCAAGAACCAACAAAAAACCCAGAGGATCAGGGTAGAGTCAAGACAAAAACGAGGAAAGGTAAACCCTTCCTGCTTTTGTAAAACGACCTTCAGGTACTGATTCTGACCTATGAACAGCTTTTGACTGGTTATTTAAAATTGATATCTAATCTACCTTTTGTGCTGAGCGCAAAGTGGTTTCATATTTTTGACAAAAATGGTGGCATTTGTGTGAGTCTGTGACTTGACAGATTGTTGTGACCAGGGACAACCACAAGTTCCCTTTACATATTATTGAGAAAAATATGAATGACACCATTCATCATGTAACTGTGTAATAACTGATTATCATATCTAGGTAATGACCTGAGGTTGCTTCCCTGCACCAGCAAAGCTGTGTTACCTTTCTGTCTCCAGCTGATGCTGGCCTGCTTTAAGGTACTTCAACTAGTTAAAAGAGTGAATGGATGACGTTTTAGAATATATATTATTTTTATAGTTGGACTGTGATAAGACGAGCACAATCTGTGCTGATGCATTTTTCTGTATCTAGACTATTTAGATATTAAACCTTGTATAACCCCCTTTGTCTTTTTTTTCCATTTTGTCCAATCAGCTCCGTGCCTTCACAGACAGTCGTGACGACCTGTCCCTCGGTCATGTGGTGGTGCTCCTGCAGCATGACTGGCCACAGGGCGAAATGCTGTTTTTAAAGGCAGTGGAGAAGATCTGCCAGCAAGGCAGTTTTCAGTATGAGAATTTCTTCAACTATGTCACCAGTATCCTTTTTTGTAACCACGCATTGGCAAATGATATGATTTTTTTTGTGCTCTCTTGCCTCAGATGTTAGTTTCCATAAGCTCATTATTTTTGTCAGATATTGACATGCTGGAGGAGTTTGCATACCTGCGCACTCCTGAGGGAGGGAGGATTCAACTGGAGCTGCTGCCCAATCAGGGCATGTTGATCAAGTAAGCGCCTCGCATCCAGAAACCTTTCAGTTTGCATCGTGACTCCGCACACTCCCGTTCTGTTGCTGTTTTCAGAGAGAACAGTGCTGTTGATTGAAGATCTAAGTAGACGTGGCCTGTGGGGACAATGTTACTTTGAACTGACAATGCTGTTAACAGAGCAGACGTTGGAAAGAGAAGGGGTTTATGGTGAAAATAAAACTTATATGAAACTCCTTCATTCTTTGATTTAGAAGTTAAGACGTTTGAATGCACCCTCACTGACAGTTGTTGAATGTTGCTGTCCCTCAGGAACCCTAGTCCCGCCCTGGGGGTGGAGTTAAATACCCTCCTGCTACAAGGGGTGCAGACGATGGACAGGTACCCCAGGCCCATCCTCCCACAGTCCCATCCCTCCCCCACACCAGTCACCCTCCCTTCATTCCCAACTTCAAGGCTTGTCATTCTCCCAGTTTTGATTTGGGCCTGTCATTTTACATCAGGAGTTAGTCGTTCTTTGATTTCCTGTCGGCGTTTGTTTATTTTGAGTTTTTGCTCGTCTTTGTGTGGTCATCACTGTTGTTGCTGTTGTTATTTGAGAATGATGTTGGTCTTGTTGTGCAGTCAATTTAATTTTTTCCCCCCCTTTTTCATAACACTTGATCTCATTTCATTTGTGGACATGTTTTTTATGTGGTTCTTATTTTTGATGATGAAACTTTTGTCATGACATAAATCTTAGTCTCTGTGTTTTCTTACAAATCATCTCATAATAATACATTTCTGTTTTCTTCCATATGTATGTTTGCGTTTATTTTTGTGTGCTTTTATTTATTTATTTTTTTTACAGACACCACACAGTGACTCGTGGGATCACCAAAGGAGTGAAGGAAGATTTCCGTCTGGCCATGGAGAGGCAGGTGTCGCGCTGTGGAGAGAACTTGTTCACTGTGCTTCACCGCTTCTGCATCAACGAGAAAATCATCATCATCCAGTCCCTTCCTTGACACCTGGCCTATGACTTTTAAACCTTTTCATAGTTGATATCCTGTTCACAGTTTTAGTGCAGCTGGACTGACTTTATGACCCCAGCACTGGACTCATTTCTCACGCTCCTGTCTTTTGTCATCCCACACTGAACTCTTAAGAAAAGAGCAAGTCTCCTTCCTTTAAAAGTGGATCTCTCTTCTCAGTGAGTTGGAGAGAATACCATGTTTCTGAATCTACTGTGCTCATGCAGTTTTCCTTGTATGTGTGTAGTCTTTTTTTTCTTGGTTTTTAACCACAACATGTGCTTAACCACATTTAAAGTGCTTTAATCGTGTTGTGACATTTTGTGGGAGTCAGCGTTGACAAAAGAATTAAGAGCATTTTTGATATTCTTGTGCAAGATTTATTGTTTTTGTTACAAATACAACAATGGCAGACATGTTTCTATTAAATGTCATCTAAATGATTTAAAGAAGTTGAGTTATTATATGATGCAAGAACAATCCATTCATCTTCAGTACAAGATAAAAAATTAGACGATGAAGCTCAAGAAAGTGTGCTCTAGAGAATAGAGAATGTACACTTTATTTTTCTGTCACCCCAAAGCACCCACATGTCTTTATTTCTGCTGCATTCCCTCATGCAAACTTTCCCATCAGTCCCATTCACACTTCCTCTTCCTCTTTCAGTCTGCCTACCACAGTCACTCCTCTAGTTCTGCGGCTGGTGCATTTGGCAGGTCTGCCTGTAGGGCAGCCCTGAGGTTGGCCCAGAAAAACCTGTGCTTGGCCCTGTCCTGAGGATACTCCAAATATGTGTGCCGACCCATTATGGACTTCAGCTGGTAGTACTTGGATGGGATCAGGTATAGAGGCAGAGGCTCGAGCAGCACCAGCACAATGCTGTCCGAGTCCCGAGAAAGGTGTTGGTGGCTGGCAAAGTACAGCTCGTAATGGCACCACTCGCTCTTGACAAAGTGAGCAGAGAGCACAAACATGGAGCGTCGGCTTTTCTCAACACATGTGATGATGTTCTCAATAATTGTCTTTCCCGGCACAAAGTTTTTCTCATGATGGCAGATTCGGAGCCCTCCTGTAGGGCCTTCAAGGTTGGAGAGGAGGGAATTGTGCACCCAGTCTGCGTCATGCTGGCTGTAAGAAACAAAAGCGTGAAACTCGATACCGACCAGATCTTCGGGTCGAACTTGTCGCATTCTGGCACGGCGTTTGGCTCTGGTCCACTGCAAGATCATGCTGATATACCAGAGAACATCCAATTGATGGCACAGCGTCACAACTGCGGTGATCACTATCACTGTTGGGCACAAGATGATGGCAGCTAGAAGGCCAGCGTTACAGGTGATCTCTAGGATCCAGATGTTTTTCAAGGTGGAGTTTCTGTCGGCCTCAGGGTATGAGCAGGAATAGTCCGTTGGCCAGTTCAGCAATTCAATTCCATTGCTCTTTTCAGACTTGATGCCAAGACTTATGAAACTCCTCAGAGCGCAGGTGCAGATGAAGGGGTTGTAACTGACATCCAGAGTTTTCAGATTGGGGCAGCTTTCCAGCTTGTTCACTGACGGGGCGTGGAGGGAGTTTGACTTGAGCTGAAGCTCAATCAGTACGGGGAAACCATTACATACTGGCAGGTCCCGCAGCCTGTTAGCATTTAGATTCAGTGATGAAAGGTTTTCCAGTTTTAAGATGGATGATGGCACTACAGAAACCTGGTTGTTCTGGAGGTCCAGTGTCTCTGTTCCTATTGGTAGACATTTAAAAACTGAGCCTGTCAGACCATTAGAAGACAGAATCATGTTGGTGATGTTTGGTGGCCAGACACATTCTTCCAGACCATCATAAACTAGGGAGTTGAGGCTGAGGTCCAGATGTTGCAGGGACTTCATGTGTTGCACGCGTTCACTCAGCATATGAAGGCTCTTTAGATTGTTGCCTACGAGAATCAGTTTCCTCACGTTATCCAGAGTCTCACATTCAACAGTCTTCTGAGCCTCCACTCTGGAGAATATGGAGTCAGATAGAGCACAAAAGGAGAAGTCCAGCTGGAGGATAGGACTCTGCGACCTTGGGCATGTCATGTGTATCATTGGAGTCTCGAAGATTGCAAAACTCTCCACTGGCAGGTTGATAAAAAAGTTGTATACAGCCTCCTGTGAAAAGAAGAAAGTCTTCACCACTACCCTTCTGGCTGAAAAGGACTGCATTTTACATGTCTTGGTCACATTAGTGTCTATATAAGGCAACTTGTTGAGGGCCACATCAGAGGCGCTCAGACTGGTAAGAGATGTACACAGAACCACGTTTACAAAGTGAGTTAAATCTGGCCAGTCGATTGTTATGTTGCTGAGATCAAGATGAGATGTGTGGATTTTGGCTCTCTCTCTCAACTGCTCACTTAGGTCTTTGTAGCCTCCAGTCAAATTCATCAACTCCACTTCAACAAAGAGTGACAGAGCATCAGCAAACAGATCATGGTCTATTATTTGATTTCTAGTGAAGGCTATCTGAAGCCTTTGAGCATGAACATCCTTAAGGCTACCTGCTTCGTAAACCAGTTCATCCTCCATGGAAAGGGTCAGTGTGCGTAGTTTCACTTGAGCAATATTCTTGAAATCACCTGTACTGATGTTTTTTGCACCAAGTGCTAATTTCTCTAGTTTTACCAGGGAGCTGAACTCACCCCCCAGTGTCATTGTGAGAAACTTGTTGCAGCTCAAATTTAGTGCCAAAAGGTTCTCTGTGTGGAACAGGTAACGCTGACCGGAAAGGTTCTTCAGTCGGTTGTGTGACAGGTCCAGATCCTCCAGGAGGGGTGTGTCGAGGAACGTCTCCGAGTCAATCTCCTCCAAACTATTCCATGAAATGTTGAGGAACCTCAGGAGAGTGGTGTTCTTGAAGTCTCCATGGTAAAGTTGCTGTATGTGGTTGCATGAAATGTCTAAAAACTCAACCGTCTGAGGCAGGTCTCTTGGGACTAAGGAGAGGTTTTGGGATGAGCGGTCCACGATGCTATCAGGGAATGAAGCACTCAGCTGGAATCCCACCAACATGGCTGCCGCCCAGAGGGCAGCAGTCACAGGCCTCATTGTTTGCCTGGAGGGAAAGTAAGGAAATAAACAAAAATGTTAGTGTTGATGCCAGTCTAAACTGTTTTAAAGAGGTGTTGATTCAACTTCATGGTCATTTTGGAAGATGTAGTTTGTGGTGCTGTTGAACTGTATTGCCTAATAAAGAGAGGTGTTTCTGTTGTTTAGCAGAACCTCATAGATATAATTGAGGGGACAAAAGAATATAAAGAAATAGTAAAACACAGCACCTTTAGTCCACACCTCTCTAAAACAGTTACAACAAAATGGAACTTTTTTAACCTTCATGAAGGTAGGATTTATTGCAGGACTCTTGTATTAGGTTGCATTAGGTATAGCGAGGTGTACCTAACAAACTGGCAACTGAGTGTACACAGAATATGCAGTTTGAATGTTTTTACCCTATTTGACCTGCAGTGTCATAATATGAAGTCTTGTTTGAAAATGAACTGTGTTTGATCAGTCAAAACATTAGGATTATGTATGCATCCACACGTCCCACATCTAATTTAAATACAGATATTGATTTCTTTAAATCCAAAGTCATATTTAAATACTGAAGTGAGCAAATGCATTAGATTTACATAGTAAATACAAATAAAATAAATACATAGTTTAAACCATTGTGCTTTTTAAAAATACTTTTCTAGACTCTTATTTGCTTCTATCTGTGTGTGTTGAATGATAAAATCTATATACAGTGGGTACGGAAAGTATTCAGACCCCTTTAAATTTTTCACTCTTTGTTTCATTGCAGCCATTTTCCAAAAATCAAAAAAGTTCATTTTATTTCTCAGTAATGTACACTCAGCACCCCATCTTGACAGAAAAAAACAGAAATGTAGAAATTTTTGCAAATTCATTAAAAAAGAAAAACTGAAATATCACATGGTCATAAGTATTCAGACCCTTTGCTCAGTATTTAGTAGAAGCACCCTTTTGATCTAATACAGCCATGAGTCGTTTTGGGAAAGATGCAACAAGTTTTTCACATCTGGATTTGGGTATCCTCTGCCATTCCTCCTTGCAGATCCTCTCCAGTTCTGTCAGGTTGGATGGTAAACGTTGGTGGACAGCCATTTTCAGGTCTCTCCAGAGATGCTCAATTGGGTTTAAGTCAGGGCTCTGGCTGGGCCATTCAAGAACAGCCACGGAGTTGTTGTGAAGCCACTCCTTCGTTATTTTAGCGGTGTGCTTAGGGTCATTGTCTTGTTGGAAGGTAAACCTTCGGCCCAGTCTGAGGTCCAGAGCACTCTGGAAAAGGTTTTCGTCCAGGATATCCCTGTACTTGGCCGCATTCATCTTTCCCTCGATTGCAACCAGTCGTCCTGTCCCTGCAGCTGAAAAACACCCCCACAGCATGATGCTGCCACCACCATGCTTCACTGTTGAGACTGTATTGGACAGGTGATGAGCAGTGCCTGGTTTTCTCCACACATACCGCTTAGAATTAAGGCCAAAAAGTTCTATCTTGGTCTCATCAGACCAGAGGATCTTATTTATCACCATCTTGGAGTCCTTCAGGTGTTTTTTAGCAAACTCCATGCGGGCTTTCATGTGTCTTGCACTGAGGAGAGGCTTCCGTCGGGCCACTCTGCCATAAAGCCCCGACTGGTGGATTGCTGCAGTGATGGTTGACTTACTACAACTTTCTCCCATCTCCCGACTGCATCTCTGGAGCTCAGCCGCAGTGACCTTTGGGTTCTTCTTTACCTCTCTCACCAAGGCTCTTCTCCCCCGATAGCTCAGTTTGGCCGGACGGCCAGCTCTAGGAAGGGTTCTGGTCGTCCCAAACGTCTTCCATTTGAGGATTATGGAGGCCACTGTGCTCTTAGGAACCTTAAGTGCAGCAGAAATTTTTTTGTAACCTTGGCCAGATCTGTGCCTTGCCACAATTCTGTCTCTGAGCTCTTCAGGCAGTTCCTTTGACCTCATGATTCTCATTTGCTCTGACATGCACTGTGAGCTGTAAGGTCTTATATAGACAGGTGTGTGGCTTTCCTAATCAAGTCCAATCAGTATAATCAAACACAGCTGGACTCAAATGAAGGTGTAGAACCATCTCAAGGATGATCAGAAGAAATAGACAGACCTGAGTTAAATATGATGTCACGGCAAAGGGTCTGAATACTTATGACCATGTGATATTTCAGTTTTTCTTTTTTAATAAATTTGCAAAAATTTCTACATTTCTGTTTTTTTCTGTCAAGATGGGGTACTGAGTGTACATTACTGAGAAATAAAATGAACTTTTTTGATTTTTGGAAAATGGCTGCAATGAAACAAAGAGTGAAAAATTTAAAGGGGTCTGAATACTTTCCGTACCCACTGTATTCTGCTATTTTGCATGTAATGCACTTATTGTGTTTGATAAAAGCATCAGCTAAATAAATGCAATTTGGTCACAGTGACATCTCCCATCATAAATAGTGGTAAAATAAAACATTTCAATAAACTAAATAGAACCCTAAATAAATAACTCTAAATAAAACAAAATCCAATCACTAATACAGTACATAGACAAAAGAGTGCACTAACCTGTATTGAGGGCAGAAGCACTGCAGCTTGATATGTTGAGGTTTTAATTAGTTTATATGTTGCAGTCCATCATATTTGGATAATTTGAATACCACCAAGTGGACAGTCTAAATAAGTAGTTGAAGGTATTTGTGCTCAGTCTTTAAGTCTGTAAAAGTTGCAAAGGTGCAAAATTACTTAAATTATGAAAAAATGTGCAAGAAAAGTGCACCAACAAACAAAACCAGTTGTTATCTAAAGACGATTGTCAGCTCTGCGGACAGTCAGCGGGTCTGTTTCTGTTCTCCTCATTTGCCTTTCTGATACAACCTCCGCTCATGTTACGGTAAATGACTGTGCTAAGAGGATACAGCCGTGGAAGTGAAAGCAAGCCTTATACCAATCACGTTTTTCTCTCATGTACATCCTCTTTCCACTTCCCCCTTTTTATATTCTTATCTGCTGTAATAATACTAAACTACTTGTTTCATAAAATGATGCCAATATGTAATGAGAGTGAAAGAATTTAAGTCTGCTCAGTTATTCTGATTTAAATCAAATTTAGATTTGAACTTCTTGTTCTTTTCGTGTTCTTATTAGGTGGACTGTGTTTAAAAGATGTCGATCCTCTGTCTCAAAGACACTCAGTTTGAATTATGTACACAAAGATCCAAGGGCAACTGACATAATCATGACTGATCTGTCACTTAATGACCATCCTACAAACTATTAACAACTCTCTTCACTTTGTAATGCTCAACGTTTTGGAGGCGTCTTTTCTGCAGTATCTTAGCAACCACAGTGAGGTCAGTCTGGGTGGTAGATGACTATTTCCCAACCCTATTAACTTATCCCACTAATGCAGAGTGTATCCTGGGCAACTGCACTGTTTACTCTAGATGGCTATAGACACTGTCCTTAATGAAGGAGGATGAGGAAGGGCTTTTTGATGGGCTTTGACTTGTTTTATTGTGATTGGGAGGCTTTATCAAATACAGGCCCCCACACACACACACACACTTCCCAGCAATGTTTTCACTCCTTTCCTTGGGTCATTGCCTGTTCCTCATACGGTAAGTGGAGCTAAATTTAATAAGGTCATATGAGCTGGTGTCACTGTTCTCACCTGGTGTGGTTTGATCAAATCTTAGACGATCACTGCTGACACTTTGCTTAGTAGCTTCTGGCCATGAAGACAACAAGAGAACAGCCTGTTTTTTTGTCAGGTTGCCCTAACATTGTATAGCCAATCCTTCTTTTTTGAATAAATGTGCTAGATATGTGTTAAACATGTGAATTCATAATGGGTAAAAAATGTTAACTCAAATTTGACACTTGTTTCAAAGAAAAGTTTAATTTAAGAGGGCAAATGATAGACTGCAGTGTGAACTACTTCTTAGTTATGGAGTTAAGATCAGAGTGCAAGCTAATTATTGACACAAGAACTTTTTTCACAGCAATCAGCAGCATGCTAAGAGATCTGCATGTGTACTGTAACACTGTAGCTGCTCAGTAATATGCTTTTACGTGTTGCTCGTCTCATTTAAAGGGTCTTCTTATTTTGGATGAAGTGCTTTTGGGATTACATGTGAAATTAATTTACCAGAAACTTCGCAAAAGTATGGCAATACAAGTGCATGTGAGTCAGGCGTTGTATGTGTGAACATTATGTGGTAGGGAGGGGCTGAGTGGGAACACAGTACACAGAGAGAGATAGGGAAGTCCGACCAGGATGTCAGATGGACACTGCAGCACCTCGAAGCTTCAGATGTTCCTCTCTCCTGGCTGTGATCGTTCTCTTCCCTCCTCCACCATCATGGATTTCTTGTCTTTCGCAGGAGGATTTATGATATTGAACAGAGCAGTTGCTCTAAGTGACACCAGCTACTCATTTCAAGTCGATTTCTGAAACAAGATAGACTCCTTCAATATGCTGAACCATCCGTCAACTTTCATTGGTCAGTGCCTCTTACTCTCCCTCCTGTTGGTGTGTTGTTTGAACAAAGCAGCCTGTTCGCCTGGGGAGGGCAGGAAGACTTGGCAGCAACCCAGGCCGGACCCCATCATCAAAGACCAGGCTTTCCTTCATGACGCTTTCCCTTCAGGATTCCTTTGGGGTTCGGGGACCTCTGCCTTCCAGACAGAGGGAGCCTGGGATCAGGAGGGGAAAGGCCCATCCATCTGGGACCATTTCACCCACTCCAATGTCAGTGCTAATTTGGCAACCGATACTGCCAATGTGGCCAGTGACAGCTACTCTCGCTGGGAAGAAGATGTGGAGGCACTGGAGTATCTAGGTGTACGATCTTACTCTTTCTCTCTCTCATGGCCCCGACTCTTTCCTGATGGGAATGCCAGGGGTCAGCCCAATGCAGCTGCTGTGGAGCACTACGGCCGCCTAATAAAGAGGCTTCTGGAAAAGAAAATCGAGCCGGTTGTCACTCTCTATCACTGGGACCTGCCACAAGTCCTACAGGAGCGATATGGAGGCTGGAAAAATGACACACTAGTGGGACTGTTTGAGGAGTATGCTGCATTTTGTTTCCACACATTTGGGAACCACGTTAAGTACTGGCTCACAATGCACAATCCATACCTGGTGGCTGTGCAGGGGTATGGGACAGGTGTGCACGCTCCTGGAGAAACAGGGGGTCCTGCTGGCTCTCTCATTGTGGCCCACAACCTGATCAGGGTAAGTTAGGCAGGGTCAATTGACTGATTGAAAATGTGAGTCTGCAGATGAGCATAGACTGTACTCACACTGGGTTTATCTGTAAACGACTTTCTCTGATGACACTTTCTGTGAACTTTGAACTTCTGCAGCTGTATCAGTTTATGACGGTCAATGAATGTTTGCGTCCTCCAAATGATTGTGAGGTCACAAGACAGTGAAGCAAACACAGACCGCGCCAGTGCACTGACAAATTACATCAAATAAGACTATGACGTCTGTTTTATTGCTTCGCAACATATAACTGGTGCAGCCAAGTGCAAAGCCTTAATGCTCACTTTTTGATTTATCTCCTGGCTGACTCATTGGACATATTTTATTTTGAGAGGTTTCTGATCAGTAAACAGGACACTTAAAGAGACATTGAGGTCAAAGTCCAACACATCAGCACTTTTGTGTTGGAGGGAAACAGTGTGTGACAGGAAGTCATGGAGATATGCCTCATTAATAATCACTTATGTTTATGCAATCAAACACAGATGGTATGTGTACAGCCAACACTGCGCAGATAGCGTGAACAAATATTAATTCTCTGATGTCTAATAGATTGTTTTCATGATTACTCTATTATTTCCGTTAAGTGACGTCTTTGGTCCCATTGGTTTGTTTATTATTTATCTGTTGGCACAATATCTCAAGAAAACATGTACAACTTTGAATTATATTTGGTGAAAAATAAGCCTAAATCGAGGCAGAGAACAAGTAATTATTTTCTTATCGACTACTGCATTTAAAGTTTAATATCACTAAAATAACAAATTCAGAACATTGTGCACCTGTGGCAAAGATATGTGCTCTGTGAGTGCTGTGAAGTTTTTTTTCATTGTTTTTGATTTTTCACAGCAGACATTTTGACTTTTGATGTCCTTTTCGGAAAAGCATAGGTGCTACTGATAGCTCTTTTGTGTCCAGCTGACAACATCGAGCCAGCATGCACAATACCTAATTCCTACTGGGACATGTAAAAGTGTCTGTGAAGTAGGCCTATTGTACCATGCTGTATGGACTGCATCATAATACTGTGTCTGCTGTGATTTCCAGGCACACGCGAAAGCATGGCACACCTACAACACCTTTTTCCGTCCAACTCAGAAGGGTAAGGTATCCATTGTTTTGGGATCCCACTGGGTTGAGCCTCAAAGAGGCCAAGCCACAGCTGCTAATGTTGAGCTCTGCCAGCAGTCAATAGAGGCTGTTCTTGGCTGGTTTGCCAACCCCATTTTTGGTGATGGGGACTACCCAGTCTCTTTAAAAATCAAGCATGGTGCCCTTCTGCCCACGTTCTCTCCTGAGGAGAAGCTCTGGGTGCAGGCAACAGCTGACTTTTTTGCTCTGTCTTTCGGGCCTAACAACCTTCGTCTGGGCCGGGGCCTGGTCCAGTATGGACAGACGGTGGCCCCAGACCTGAGGCGCGTACTGGGCTGGATAAAGCTGGAGTATGGGGACCCAAGGGTGCTGGTGGCTGAGGGAGGCTGGTTTTCTGAAGAAAGTGTGGGAAAGGAGGACACTGTAGCCATTTACCTTATGAAGAGATTTATCAACCAGGTCCTGCAAGGTAAGAGAAGAAGTGAAAAGAGCAATTAAAAATTAGACAATGCAATGAATTCAATGAAAGAAATCTCTATTTTTTTATTGCTGTGTTTTCATTTACAGCTATCAAGTTTGATGGTGTGCAGGTGTTTGGCTATTCCGCCTGGTCATTGGTGGATGGATTTGAGTGGAATTATGGCTTCACTATTAGGCGAGGCCTTTTCTACATTGACTTCAGCCAACCAAACCGAACCAGGAGACCCAAGACCACTGCTCAGTACTATAGGCGCGTTGTCGCTGACAGTGGTTTCCCCAGAGACGAAACCTCCAGAGAGATTAAAGGCGTTTCCCCTGCAATTTTCACTGGGGTATGGCTGACTCAACTTTACAGGTAAGAGGAGAATCTCAGAAGACAAGCGTGTGAGTTTTACACCAAAAAATGCTAAAAGAATGGAAAGTCTACCCTGATATTTTTTTTGTCTTTTTTGTTATTGTAGGTCCACTTCTACCCTTTCTCACCACAGTTTACTGACCCCCATTTGTACAGCTGGAACCTGACAGGAGACGGGTCATTGCGTCCAGTCCCAGGGGTGATGTTCCACACCAGCCGGGCCCAGTGCACTGACTACTTGGCTATTCGCGGTCATCTTCGCCTGTTTGCATCCACTGGGGCTTCTCACTACCGCTTCGCCCTAAACTGGTCTCTGATTTTACCCCAGGGAGACCTCTCTAATGTGAACACTGAAGCTCTGAGGTACAAATACACAAACATCTATTTCAGTATTCCTAGCGACCACAAACAGAAAAAATTCAGCCCAATTTGATTCATTTCAGTTCAATGCAATTAATTTCAAAACATAACCTGATCCACGCTATATATTTTAGCCAGATTCATACATACATTTTAAGATGATACCTCAGTCCCTCTTTCTGTCTACACATATTAACTCCTGATCCTGTTTCACATCTAACAGGTACTACCGCTGTGTCCTGACTGAGCTCAAGAAGCTGGACCTGCAGGCTGTCGTCATCCTCTACTACCCCACACACAGAGCTCCAAATCTGGGCATGCCTAAGCCACTGCATGCTTCTGGTGGTTGGCTCAACTACAGCACAGTGGAGGCCTTTCAGGAATATGCAGCACTGTGCTACCAGCAGCTGGGCCCCTGGGTTCCATACTGGATCACCATCAATGAGCCAAACAGACTGGTAGATGTTTATTCCAGTGGGGAAGAGACGCATCACGCAGCTCATAACCTTCTTTTGGCTCACGCAAAAGCCTGGAGGCTGTATGAGAGGGAACACTCTAGTCAACAGAGAGCGCTGGTATCACTCGCATTACATGCCGACTGGGCCGAACCTGCAAACCCCTTCCTTGACTCACATACGGCAGCAGCACAGAGATTCCTTTTGTTTGAACTTGGTCGCTTCTTAGACCCATTGCTGGGGACTAGATATGAAGAGAAACATAACAAGGGGGACTACCCGCAAGAAATGAAGGCTTACCTAAAGGAGAGAGCTCGATTAACGGGCCTCCCTGGATCCCCTCTTCCCAGCTTTACTGAGACTGAGAGGGAGGAGCTCAGAGGGACATTGAGTTTTATTGCACTGAACCATTTCACCACCCGTTTGGTCTCTCCATATCCCCACATGCAGGCTTATTTTCGGCAGAAACAACCACCTGATCATGGCTGTCTGATCCTTTCTGATCCCACCTGGCCCTTCTCCAGTCTGAGGCAGGCTCTTGTACCCTGGGGCCTGCGGAAGACCCTAAACTGGGTGAGCCAGAGATATGGAGAGGCTCTGCCTATCATCATCACAGCCATTGGGGTTGATGACCAGGCTCCTGTTGAGGACAAACTCAGGCAACACTTTCTCAGGAGTTACCTGCAGGAGGCCTTGAAAGGTGGGACATGCATTTCAGATGCTTCATCTCCATCATTGGACTAATATGTAATGTTCCTCTCCCTTCCAGAATGTTTTGCACAATTATTTTTCAGTGGGAACAAAACCTCTGCATTGTTCAGGATGTTGAGGCAGAGGCAAAGCAATACAGGTTTTATGACCATATTGCGCATATTGCCTATAAAATCCAGACAGAAACTGTCAGGATCATAAAAAGAGAGAGGAGGGGAGAAAAGGCAGTGCAATGACAATGTTGATCAAATGTTGTGTTCATACTTTGCCCTTTATGGGCCTTAGCTCACCTGTATGTACTTACTTTTTTCTAACACGGGCACGTAGCCTAGTCTTAACATGTTTGTTTTTCTTCATTGTAAAATACAGTATATCTGGGTTACCTATATTGCTCAAAGAGGAGGAGGAATTGGAGAGCCGACGAGTGATTCTTATCTCACATTTCTCTTTTATTATATTTGCCTCCAGCTCGCCAATTGGATGGAGTCAACCTGCAGGGCTTCTACATGTGGAAGCTACAAGATCGACATGTACCCCAGTTTGGCCTCTTCACCTCAACCCACCACAAATCCAAAGCCAAAGCCTCCATTGGCGTCTACAGAGAAATCATCACTTGTGGTGGTTTCCCCGAGGATAACACCATGCAGACCTGCAGACTTAGTGTGCTGCACGAACCTTGCTCTGTATGTGCATGGATGTTCAAAAACAAAGCGATGCTGGTTTTTGGAAGTTGTCTCCTAATAACAGCTGCTATGTTTGCAGCACTTGTCATCTTTGTCACCGTCACCAAGAGAAACCAAAAAAGAGGCAGGGGGAGGGGGATGAACAGGATGAGCAGGAGACGAGGAAGGGAAGGAGTCCCTGGATGCTCATGTCCACCTGTTAAATACTGACTGTAATGTTGCAGACAAACTGTGTGTGGCACACTGTCAGAGCAATGCTCTATAATTGTGTTTGGTCCAGTGATGATTGTGTCTGTGTTTGTGATAATTTTACCAACAATTACTTTTGCGGGAAAGTGTCTCCATTCATTTTACTGTAATAACAGGTTATTAGATGGAAGGTGATTGGTTAAAAGAATTGTAAAATCTATTTTGTTAGTTTCTACAGTAAAATGACCATAAGATGGCAACAGATATATTGAATGCCAAAGACTCACACGTTGTTCTTTTACAAAAATTGATAATTGGTTATGTGAGCTCTGTGGTTTATATATATATAGGAGAAGAAAATGCTTTACTAAATTGCTCACCTTACCCATGAAAATATGTCAATGCCATGATTGTAGTATTGTAATAAAGACAGTCAGTGATGATTATATATGTGACTTTAATATGATATTTTATATGAAGTTCAGCTCATATGTACTTGTGGATTGTGTCCATTTTTTTGAAAGAACGAGTTTGAAAACACAGAAGTATCAAATGTTATCCACTTCATTTCAACACCAGATATCATTTTTGCCACAGAATCTCCATGGGACAATGACGCCCCCTAGTGTCACAGTTTGACGCTCTGATGAAACAATGTGAAACACGGATCTGTCTTTTGTTAAAAAAAAAAAAAGAGGGAAAAATACCAACAAGTACAGTTTATGCTCATGTGTTATTGTCCAGCAGTGTCTGTGACTGGACGAATGAAATAACTTTGCATTTCAGAGGTTGACATGATTGTTGCCAGGGGCTCAGCCTACATTAACACATCTGGATGACTCATCTACTGATAGTCATTGTGTGAAACTCTGCTTACTGTTTAGGTTTGTTAAGAGATCACTTTTATTTTCAATTAAAAGGTGATCTAAAATGGCACACGGGATTTGATTTTAAAAATAATGATAATAATAATGATGTTGATAATAACAACAAATGATTCATCACGAACAGATCAACCAATGGGAAGAGGCGTTCAGGATGGCAAGTCACATGACCCCGTCTCCTCCAGACTGCATGCAGTTTGGTATTAAAATGTTTTCAGTGCCACCAAGCGTTGTGTTGTTACACATTTGAGATGATAGATACGCGTTGAGCTATTTTAACGGATTATATCATCACATTGAAAACCGGGACTGACGGCACTCAAGGCGAACAACGTTGCAGGTGTTATTTTTGCGGTTGTATCAAAAAAAAAGTGCAGAGCTACTGTAGACAGAACACAAGCTAGCTAACGTTAGTCAGGTCGGACGGCGGCGAGGCCCCAACCGGACGGGAACACGGGGGAACCATGGCCAACATCGCAGTTCAGAGGATAAAACGGGAATTCAAGGAGGTGCTCAAAAGTGAAGAGGTTTGTTGTCAGACTTGCCAGTTAATGTTGCCGCTGTAGTTTTTCCTTCCTTTGACTACGAGGCTGAATGTGAATGACGCGTCGGTGGCTCAGCTGTCAGCTTTCTAATCACCAAGATGCTAGCTTGAGCTAACTGACACGGCAGTGCATCCGGCTTCACAAATAGCTACTAGCTGTTAATATGCTACTGTGGGAAAGTTAAAGCCAAGTATGTTACAGTTGTTAGCAAGCAGTTTATCGGGTTATACAAGCATTACCGCAAAGAAGTGAGTCTTAAATTCACAATTGCTAACTGGCTCTCTTGCCATGCCTTTCAATGGTAACCGAGCTAGCTGCGTTAGCAACGATATATTGGTGTGATCCGCGTGTATTCTTAAAGGTTTGCTCTCACGTTATGTCCCCCCCTGGATCTGCATAGATTCGTCTGAACTTACATTTGAGAGCCGTAATGTACGTATGTAGATCCGTAAGATGTGTGCAACAAGTTGAGGTCAACTTTGGCTAATGCTGCTGCGGGGAGGTGTCAACTTATGCTGCATAGGCAGGTTTGAGTTTGACAGCGAGCTAGCTTAACACTTTGTGGCCTGCCTGCCCGCTGAAGTTAAAATGCTTCTTTGCCTTTTCACCCCTTTTCAGACGAGCAAAAACCAGATAAAGGTGGATCTGGTGGATGAGAACTTCACAGAACTTAAGGGGGAGATAGCAGGGCCACCTGACACACCATATGAAGGTGAGGGGCTCATTTAGACACACTGCTGTCTGCTAACCTGTATGCGTGGTTGCACAATTTTGTTATTTGATATTGGGAGTCACTGACAACAACTTTATTTTGAGAAGGCCTCACGGACTAACTGTTTCAAGAGACTTTTAATACTTAATGTAAATAAAAACAACTTGCATCTTAACAGTCACCCTTTGATTGGATTCTTGCAATAGTCCTGTCATGATTTTTGAATAATTGTGGTACTTCTCATTTCTTCCAGGGGGTAGATATCAACTAGAAATTAAAATTCCAGAGACGTATCCATTCAATCCACCCAAGGTAGGGATTCATTACTTCTGTAGAGTTATTACAGATAATCATCCCATTGTGTGTGTACATTTGGAAATGTTCCTTTACTGCGCTAAATCACAAATGATTTTCTTTGTCCCATTTTCATTTCATCTCTCAGGTGCGGTTTATCACGAAGATCTGGCATCCCAACATCAGCTCAGTCACAGGTGCAATATGTCTGGACATTCTCAAAGACCAGTGGTGAGTGAATGTGCTGCAGCATTCCTAACATTTTTCATCCATCATGCAATACTTTTCTAGTCGGGTAAGGCAGTATTTCCCCAAAAGCCTTATACTCCTGCTGCACTCTTAAAAACAGTACAAGCACCCTTGGGCAAGAGGTTGCAGCAGCAAGGTAATATTTTCTCCATTGTTATGTCTTTACTTCCTGTTGTGCTATCACTTTGCACTTCATTCTACTAGAAACTGATGGCCAGCTGAGCAATCACAAACAAAAGCCATAGCCATTTTTAGGTTGCTGTTCTTATTGCCCACCCCTGTCTATAGTTTGATGACTTCAGGTTAATCTCATTAATAATTTCAGCTTTAAAACTGTGCAAATATGCGTTCATTCAAACTCCTACTTGCTGTAATACATCGACAGAATATACAACGTAGGTTCAACAAAGTTAAACAGATGAGTGAGTCTGTTGATTAGTTATTAGAATTAATCCCAATTTTATGTACAGTGATGTAAGTGTTCAGTCACCCTTAGATCAAAGGTATTTAAACTAGCTGGCCCACTGTCATGTGACGTATTGAAAGTATTACTCCACCACTCCAGTAATAGAACAGAGGGCAACATATCTGTAGAAGTCAGATCACATGAGGAAAGTTCCCCTTTATTGGTGTTGCACTAAACATACCATAAAACATACCTGTATGTTCCTTCAGGGCAGCAGCAATGACACTGAGGACGGTCCTCCTGTCGCTACAGGCCTTATTGGCAGCTGCAGAACCAGATGATCCACAAGACGCAGTGGTAGCCAATCAGGTGGGTGTGCATGTGTATTTATGTTTTGACTTTTGTTTGACAAATTTACTGTATTTCTAATTTTTCAAGCGGAGCAACATTATGTAAATAATGTATTCATTGCTATCTGACACTAGATTTTGGTTGTTGTAGTAGTGTTGGGTAGCTCAAACATGTTTAAGTTGTAAAGGCTCTTGTTGTAAATTAGTTTTAGAGCTGATACAGTTTTCTGAACTGATCACGCAAAGAGTTCTTAGAGAGTCGTCCTGTAAGCTAAGATAAGAAAAGATATAACTTTATTAATCCCCCGTAGGGGAAATTTATGTTGACATATCAACTCAGAGGAAAGAGAAAAGTAAAAGAACAGATGCAGTAATGTAGAATCAGTAAACTTTCAACGTAGATGTATAAATATATACATTGTATACACACTATATATGATCAGTATACAGTTAACTTTCTATGTAGATGTTTAAATATTAATACACTATTTACACACTATATACAATCAATATATGATAATTATTTACAACCAGTTAAATGTCTGAAAGATAACCGGGAATAGTCCGGTAAATGTAAAACCTGGTGTGGTTGGGGACCTCTGTATTAGATGGTTGCCATATCCACACTTAATGATTGTTAATCAAAATTACGAAAATATGTCCATTTGCATAACGTGCATTGGCGCATCGCCCGGTCTAAGCAGGGTTTCCCCCGGAGAACAAGCTGCAGCTGAAAAACCTTTAACCATCTAAAGGCCGGGAATATTTTTGTTGTTTTTACTGCTGTGCACGGACATGTGAAGTGAAATCATCCTGGAGTGCAGCCCTGGCGTAAGCAGCAGCACTCGTACCCAAAATACTGTGGCATCATAGGCAGAATTTCTCACAAATATTGTGATACTCATTTGTGTCAGTATCACTTAGTTCTAATAGATCACCTCCCAAGGCAAACTACTTAATTTCTGCTAGGGAGAGTTCTAATCCAGTGCAAGATTCTGAATTAGGACTTTGCACTACCATGACGTGCAGATCACACATCTGTAGGATGTATCAATTTATGTTAGGTTCACCCGTGTATGACCCTGGCTTGTTAACCGAAATGCCGTGATATAGGTGGATGCATCATGGTTTTTCCTGTGTTGCACAACAGTTATTTTTGCACGTTAAGCAATATTCACTGCGGTGCTAGTAAAGGGACACTGTTGTGAAATACTACGCGTAGATAGTAAGCTCTTTCCCCTATTCTACTCAGCACATAACACCTACATACTATCACTAATATCTAATGTAGTAACAGCCATCCATCGCTTACCAACCCACATCCCAAGGAGAAGTACTCGAACTAATGAAATAATGTTGTCTAGCATAAGATGTTACATTTATGGCACAGCATGTCACCCCCTAAACCTTATCGGCAGGAAAACCCTGTTATTAATATGACCTCAGAATCATTATAGATACTATTGTTCATGTTTGTCTTTTGTGTCTTTATTTCACAGCTTTTGACATTTGTATAGACATTAATATAAAAAATAGGCAACATGACAAACCTCCTCCCTTCTGAGGTGCTTTTTATTTGCACATTAAAATCCAAAAAGAAACATTAATTACTTAAAAGGACTAGTTTGCATCACTTTTTTTATAATTTGCTTTACTAACCTCAGGTCCTCCAGTCACCACCTAACTTCTTTTCCTAACAACCACTTTTCTCATCTGAAAATTGAAAAATAATTTAGGATGAACCAGTCTGTAGGCTACAAGACAGAGTTGTAGGCTACACCAGTTTAGTCTTACTTTGTACCTGATGTTCTCAACATTTGACAAGTAGGTAGTAATAAAATACAGCTACCAGTTACTTTATTTAAATTGAGCTAATGTTAAGTTACATAGCAGCCAAACGATGTAGCCTACTCTATAAGCTTTCCTGCTCAGCTGCGCAGTCTGAAGGGGAGACGCTAGCGCAAACTGGCTTCAGTTTTCCAGCAGTCGGGGGACAGACTTTTCTTGG